CCTTCCCCTCTCTCACTTTATATGGTGATGTCAGCAGCTTGGCCGTCAATGCTTGGCTGTAACAGATTGCTTGGTGCACTTGTCTTGTGCATCTTCCAGGTTTGTGAGTCGCCTGCCATCATTCTACAAACTCATGGACACCTGAAAGAATTAAAGGCACAGTCGACAGAAAAACACCCCAGAGTCTCATCTAGCCAGACCTTTGATTTATGAGTACAACAGGGCTATAAGCACCCCCTAAGGGAAATGTGCTTTTCACTGCTCCCATAGTGTATGATTGAAGGAATCTTTTTTTTTAGTGAACATTGATGGATCAACATGTTCTGTGAGAAAATAAATCATCAAGGTTTTTTTTTTTTTTTTTTTTTTTTTAAATCTTATAAAATATATGAGGTGGCACACACTCGGGGGAAAAGGCTTACCAGCATGGGGCAAAAATCACCCAGTGTTGATACAAATGTTTTGCATAATACGCAATTTAATCATAAAAAAAATCACTTCAGCAAAGTTTGAATTATTTTCTGTTTATTTTGATAAATAAAATAATTTGTTTTTTAATAATAAATATACTGTTATTAAAATATGTCTTTTTAAAAATACAAAAAAAAAACTATTTTAAAAGATTTGAAGGAGATCCCATAATAATTTAATGTGGATGTACTTTGGGTTAGGGTTAGAATAAATTATATTTTATGATATGATCAATATCATATTTATAAATATGTTTTTTAATATAAATTTGGTGATTCTCTAATGCCGGGTACACGATTTTAGCCCACGATTTTCACTCACCGACAGTTTTGTGGAAATTAACGCCAAATTCCGAAATCTGAGACAAATCGGTGATCATTCACATGAGTGAAAATAAGGGCTTGACAATATTTTTTTGCTCACCAGCCAATGTGGCTTGTGGTTTTACAAATTTAGCCACTCAGCATTTTCACTGACCAAAATTTTAACATCGATACCTTGGGGAAAAACTTCCATATAGATATTTTTTTATATTATCTCATAATTTGGCATTAGGTGTATTAGGCTGCTGTCACTTTAAGAATTGATGCACAGATCCATTGTACTGTTACACGTGTTCTCTTTCTCAACTGTTTACGTTCACTTAAAACATAACTGACTGTGTTTACGTGAATACTTGCCAAGACTGGCATTTTGATTTTTTTTTGTGTGTATTTGACTGTTTAAGCGCAATAAGCAGCGAAAAAAACTCTATTTAATACTGAGAGGCGGCTTTATGTGCTGCACACTTTGGGTGTGAGCACAAAATCTGCGGGAATGAGTAAAATTGTGCTCAATACGTGCAATCCCATGCCAAATTCAAAAATATTTTGGCCGTGGTGAAAATCGTGTAGTGTGTATGATCAAAAATCATGATGATGAAAGACCATGAGAGAAGCGCAGATGTGTTTCAGATGCCCGTGACATATTTAGCATGCTAAATATTTGGACCTGTCTGGGACTTAGAGTGCTGCAGTGTGAAATGCGTTTTGACTGGAAATTACATCGGCAACGACCTACAGCCAATGAGAGGTCAAGATACAGTGCAAAGGAAAGTTCAGGGGGAGGAGTCATAGACCTGCAACAAAACACAGCAAGCATTGCTTCTGCAAGCAACTATTCTGTCCTTCATATTCTTGTCTCTTTTTCTTTTTCACTGCAAATCGGCAGACAGACAACTTTTATCACAAGCTTCTTGCGTGCATCATTTTGACAAGAAGAAATACAGACTCCCTGGTGATCATACGTTATTTGCTTTATCAATCCTTACGTGTGTTTGGTTGTGTGAAATGTGGTTTGTAGACCAGGCAGAGTTGTCAGTGATTCTTCTTATTAAATGTTGTGTAATGTTTGACCAATCCATCATGTAATATGCATACAACAGCAACTAAATGGCACCCGAGACTGTCAGGTTTTGGGTAGGTGAAAGGAGCATGGACTCAAGTGCAGGACAATCAGGCAATGGGTATTTAATAATAATAAAATAAAACTGACTAGACTTGACTAGACTTGACTAGACTTGACTAGACTTGACTAGACTTGACTAGACTTGACTTGACTTGACTTGACTTGACTTGACTTGACTTGACTTGACTTGACTTGACTTGACTTGACTTGAAACACACGGTGTACATACGACGACTAACCAGCACAGGACTGCAAACACAGGGAGACTAAATAGGGAGAGCAAACAAAGCAGGTAACGAGGGAGGACAGGTGGGGCAAATGAATCAATGCAGGTAACAAGATGGGACAATCGACAGGAGAGCACATGGCGCAAGGAAACGCATGACAATCCATGTGCTCACACCAAACGTGACAAACACATGAGCACATGGCCAGCAAACACAATCACCAGCCATGTGCCCCAACAAAACAAGACATGAACATGCAGCTAATGAGAACACTCATAAGCCACGTGTTCACACAAAACATGACAACATGAAAGCATGCAGCCAGTGATAAACACAAGCTGCATGCAGCACAGCACAAGACAAAACATGACATGAAAGCACATGAAACAAGGCACAGACCAGACAAAACAGGAGTGTCAGGGCTCTGTCACAAAACCAAGAAATAGACTAGACAGAAGTGACAGAACCCTGACCTAAGACAGTCGTGCAGTGTGAGATGAACAGCGATCCAATGACTTTGAAAATCATGCAGTGTGTACCCGGCATCTAACCATGTCAACAAAAGAAAAAATCAGCCAGCTAGTTATTATCATGTCAATAATGCCTTTAACACCAACAGTAGATCAAATTAGCACAGAATCAACTTTTCTATGTGCATAGAGAAACACGACTGTTTAGGAGAGTGCTGATGTGAGTTTTGCCATCTAGAGGTTTAATAAAATCAAATGCGCCTTTAGTCCCGTTGAAACCCTATATTCTGGCCAAGAACTATCCACTTTGACATGTAAACTTGTTACTAAGTTCCTCAAATAAAACTGTATATCTTTGGAAGATTTGAAGTCAAGAAGTTGATAAATAGCTCTCATAATATCAACCCGGTACCCGATTTTCTGAGTGGGCTGATTGGAGATGGCGATCACATTTGCTTCCCAGTTTTGTGTGCAATATGCATCAGATGGTCAATATGGTTTTGCTTTTTTGTCATTTTTGGAGCTCAACAGCATGGGGTTTACCACTGTGTACTTGCTAATGGATGTAGCACTTTATAACTCCTTGGTGACTTCCAGACGGTAGCCTCTAGTCTAGGCTCATGAAACATGAGAGTTTTAAGTTTGGAAGTTTGCTTTAATTTGGCAATTGCTTATTATCACTGTGTTTTCAAGCCCTGTTACAAATTTAAACCACCACTTTCTTTTATTGTTCTGATTTCCATATTTGGTGTTTGAGAACAAAAGCAAAAGCATTTGACTTGTCAAGCTCTTCTGCTATGCCTGGATTGATTGCTTGTCAGAAAAGTATGTCAGCTTAATGCAGCAGTTGTAAACAGCTGGAAGTCATGCAGAGTAAGGGTACAGATGAGTTTACATTAGCACCCAAGTTAATGACTCCTGGTATGAAATATGTCTGGACTATATAAGCTCAGCTTTCTTTTTCATAAACACTTTAGCAGTTCATGCTGTATTTTTACGTGGCATTACATTTGAGGAGTTTATATCAGTGCCACTTTCCATTGCACGTTAATGTCCTGTGAATTTTTCGAACTATTAAAGATAAAGGTCTTGACCTTCCTGACTGTCTTGTAATCATACAATGTAATAATTTTGATATAATTGACTGCAATAATATTCAATCAGTTGTATTAAAAAAATATTTTTAAACTAATAACTTATTTAAACTAACAACTTGTGTCCCACATTCTGCAAGCTACCCGGTTACAATATTATTTCCTTCATTACAAAAATGTAACATTGCTTAAATTGTTGCACCATTATTTAACATAATTTAGACCCTTTCTAGAGTGTCACATGAAGAAAAGTAAAGGATATGTTACTGTTGTGTTGTTTTAGTATATTTGAGATACTATTATAGTTTTTTAATATTTAGAAAAAAAAATAGTTTTATATTTTCTGTTTTCATTTTAATTTTAGTTCAAGTTTTAGTAATTTTGTTGTGTCTTTTTGTCAGTTCATTTTATTTCAATCATGACAACTCTGAATTTTACCATCCCAGACAGCAACATAGTGTTGGCCCAGATCCGGCCCACATCTGGGCTGTGTGAAATCCACGTCTAGATGTGTGACGGATCTAGGCCGACACTATGTTGCTGTCTGAGATGTTATGGAATATGGCAATGTTAATGTATTTGGTCTTGGCCGACTAGATCTGCTACACTGCTGCTGCTGCAGAGCAAGTATGTCCTTGCTACTGTTAATAGATACACAGACAAGCTGCTGTGAGCTTGTAAGATATGCTGCTGCTACATAAATAGACATACATAAATCTTATAGCAGATCTAGGCAGGTGGAGCTGGGGTAGGTGGAGGGGTTCAGAGGAACTCTGATAACGTGCTGGAGGACTAGCCTTTATGTGGACAATGAACCACACCATTTAAACATTGAGCAAGCAATGTCATTGCAGGATCAGCAGAGGTCAATCAGCTTGTGCCATGTGGTAATTATGTGATTACAGTTTATTTCAAGTAACAATTGTTTTAAATGGTTTTAGTTTATATTAACCCTGCTCTTTTACCCACATTATTTTAGGAAAATTGTCAATTTATTTATAGAAAAAATAAGTTTATAAATATCTACAACCTGTGTGTGTGTGTGTGTGTGTGTGTGTGTGTGTGTGTGTGTGTGTGTGTGTGTGTGTGTGTGTGTGTGTGTGTGTGTGCGTGTGCGTGTGCGTGCGTTGTGTGTGTGTGTGTGTGTGTGTGTGTGTGTGTGTGTGTGTGTGTGTGTGTGTGTGTGTGTGTGTGTGTGTGTGTGTGTGTGTGTGTGTGTGTGTGTGTGTGTGTGTGTGTGTGGTCTATTCGTGGAAAGTGACCAGTGTTACATATGCGTGTTTTTTGTGTAGATGGTGGAACAAAGAAGCTACGCAGTACCATCCGGCGGAGCACAGAGACGGGTATCGCTGTGGAGATGAGGAACCGTGTCACACGGCAGGGCAGTAAGGATTCAACAGATGGCAGCACCAACAGCAACAGCTCTGATGGAACGTGAGTGACATGGTGTCTCATTGTATTTGTTTTTTTGCTTTTATTTATTTATTAATAAACAACAGTCCGTTGACACAGACTCCTCATCACAAACATTTAACCTGGAGATCACAAATCAGTGCATCCAAATGCATTTATATCTGAGTGAATCTCACAAAAACGTGAATCTCACAAAAATATGAAAATTTTTTTTTTTATTTTACATAAAATAAGCAGAGGGAGGACAACAGTATTGTTCAATTTTAATAATATAAATTTTTATGTTGATGATAAAATGTGCTTTATTGTCATGAAAATAATTCAAATGTGGTGTAATATGATTAGAGCTGCAACAATTGATAAAATTGGTAAATAATGTGTAATAACAATTTTTTTTAAATAATGGATTACATTTTTAAGTACTTTGATAATTACCAAAAAAAAAATTTTAATCTGATTAATTGATTAATAAATAAAATCAACATATCAATCGGTTATCAAAATAATTGTTAGTTGCAGCTCTAAATATGATAAAATCTTGACAAGTTTTATACATCTATGTGTAATGTGAGGTATTTTCACACTAAATGAAGTAGTTGGTTTCTCAGTATGTATCGCATTGTTTGAAAACAACCCTGTTTTGTATTGATGAGTTTGATAGATCACACATTTCACACATCTCAACGGGTGTATTTTAGGTTCATCTTCCCCACCACTCGCCTGGGCCCTGAGAGCCAATTCAGTGACTTCCTGGATGGCCTTGGTCCCGCACAGATAGTGGGACGTCAGACATTAGCCACACCGCCAATGGGTAAGACAGCTGCATACTGGGTAGAATACACTGAATACAGCAATTACAATTTTGTTAATAAAAAAAAGTTCATTTGCATTTTTATGCTAATATCATATTAAACCGTCTTGACTCTTGGCAGTCCAATCAATTAATGTGTCAAGAGTTATTGTGGAAAAACGTTAGCTATATTCGTCACACTGGATATAGAAGGTCAAGTCGAGTATATTGCAATGTGTCTTTCAGGCAAAACAGTCTTTTACGCTGTGTGCTGTTGTATAGTAGGTCACCAGGGTATTTTGTATGTACAGTAAATTTTCATACTGAGCATAGTATACATAATATATACAGTAGAAATAGTACTATGCTATCCTTTAGCATTCTGTGGAACTCAGCTGATTGTCAATGATTGTGTCTGCAAATTGACGCAGATCTGATAAATGTCAATCTTTGCAGGAGCCCATGTTGACTGAACTGGAGTTACTGGCTTGTTAGATTTAATAATAGCCTATGTATCTAATTTCCGTTTCAAATCAAATATCAAGGCAGAAACTCTAAGGAAGGTTATATGTTATTCTTTGTCTCCACCTGCTGTTGAATTATCCCATTGCAAGATTTCTGCACAGAAATGAAAGTTTTGATTATAATAAGCCATATGGTTTTCTCTGTGTAGGTGATGTTTACATTGGTGTGATGGATAGAGGGGGTCAGTTAGAGGTTGAGATCACGCAGGCCCGAGGTCTGACCCCTAAACCAGGCTCAAAGACCATTTCAGGTAACCCACGATTAAAAATGAGTGTGTTAAATCATTTTATCCACATGATTTGTTTGGTAAGGCCATAGAACACTGTTTCATAATTGGATGATTCCTTCTCTATCAGCAACATATATAAAGGTTTATGTTCTGGAGAATGGAATGTGTCTCGCTAAGAAGAAAACCAAAGTGGTGAAGAAAACCCTGGATCCAACCTTCCAGCAATCCCTGATGTTTGACGAGAGCCCACAGGGGAAAGTGCTACAGGTATTACAAATCCAAATCACTCCAGCTATCCTTCACAAACACATTCTTCAGAAAACAGCATATAACATCTAAATATCCAGCGGTCCCAAAAAAAGCATTTAATGGAATAAAAAGTTTTTAAAAAATCTTGCAGTCTTGAATTTGTTGATGGAAAGACAGGAGACACTGTTTAAAGTTTAAGGGGCTTATTTTGTGGTTTTTACACTGTTCATATTCTGTACAGTCTATGCTAATTATTATTATTATTTAAATGCTAAACACCCCTTTAAGAAATCTTAGATTATTGAATATCATCAGTGGCTAACCAAATAACATGTAATATATCAATTAATATTCATAATCATAACAATGTCATAATTCATAATTATATTCTTTATTTTTATATTTTATATATTCTAATTAAGTCTAATTACTATTTACACAGAATGTAGTGTAATTGTTTTGGTGTTAAAACCTTCCTATTTAATATAATTTATTTTTTTGTTTTTTGTTTGGTTAGAAAAATGATTAAATTATTTTTAATATTTGCAATAAAATGCTTATATTTGAGCATTTATTTTAAAGACATACACCATTCAAACATTCAATTGTCTATTTTGAACACATTTTAAAAGGTCATTTTTTCCTGTGATGGAAAAAGCTGAATTTTCAGCAGCCATTACTCCAGTCTTCAGAAATCATTCTAATATGTTGATTTGGTGCTCAAGAAACATTTCTTATTATTATCAATTTTGAAAACAGTTGTGCTGCTTAATAGTTGTATGGAAACCATGATAGTTGTTTTGATTCTTTGATTAATAGAAAGTTCAAAGAAACAGCATTTATTTGAAACAAATCTTTTGTAACGTTATACATGTCACTTTTGATTAATTGAATGCATCCTTGCTGAATAAAATTATTAATTTCTTTCAAAAAATCTTACTGACTTTAAACTATAAAACTAAATATGTAGGCCTATATATTATGTATATAATGTTCAAAATTAAGACAAAAAGTACATTAAGACATTCGCATTTTGAAGCGTCTCTTAAGCACCCAGACGCATAAGACACACTTAAAAATGTATAAATGTCATTACATAAGAAACTTTCACACCAAGTGCAAATGCCATATTTGGGGCCGCTGCATACTAAATGTGTCCATTTATCCTCACCAGGTGATCGTGTGGGGAGATTACGGCCGCATGGACAGCAAGTGTTTCATGGGAATGGCTCAGATCCTCCTGGATGATCTCGATCTGTCATCAATGGTGGGCGGCTGGTACAAGCTCTTCCCCACCTCCTCTCTGGCGGACCCCAGCATCGGCCCTCTTACACGCCGACTCTCCCAGTCCTCGCTCGAGAGCGCCACCAGCCCCTCGTGCACCTAGACACATCCACGTCCCCGTCTTAATATGCCTGTGTTCTCTATCTCTACGTGTGTATCTTCGTTCAATATACCCCGCCACCGACCCCAAAAGCATGAACACACACTCTGATAGATACAGCCAACTCGCCCGGGGCTGGAATGCTCCTCTTTACCGACACAGATTTTAAGAGTTGGATACAAATCAGTCATGACACACTTAACACATACACAGATGGATATGGATGTAATCAGCAACATGCGATTGTAGGGGCGTCCGGAATCAGTCATGGCTAGTTACATGCAGATCCATTGTTCGCAGGTCAATCAATAGGGGCATTTAATAAATCTGCTGAGAAATGTTCCTGACAATGTAGCATTTGTGTTGACGTCATGTCACACAGGGAGCAGAATGGGTTCTAGCAGTTCCAGACCCTCAAGGGTCAATCATTTCTCTATGCCAAACCCGAAGTTTTATTTTTTAAAAACCAAAGCAATTCTTATTATATGTAGTGCTATATTATAGAGTATGGATATGTAGCAGAGTCAATGACTTAGATGAGATGCAAAAAAAACTAAGACGTGTTAGAAAAACTCACTAGACTACATACACAATTAAACTTTTAAAGGGCAGGGCTTTACTCCACAGGTCAGGTTATTTATTAGAAATGCACACAGTTCATGTCGCATAAAGTAGCGCATTCTTTTTTTTTTCTTCTTTTTTTTCGGAGAGCTCAATAAATAAATTATATAGATCGATATTTGTGTTCATGTATTAATCGACTGCATTCTGCACGTTAACTCGCAACCCTTGTTCAGCAAAATATGTAAAGTGCTATTTAAGCTTGCCTTTAAAATGATGTAGACTTATAGATGGTAGGTTATTTATTTTGCTAATGTTTTAATCTCACTTTTTGTCTGAACAACGCAATCTGCACCGAGCTGCAGATGTAGTCAGAGGTAATCGAACCCTCTGAAGGAGAACCAACTGTCCTGTTAAACCAGCAACCCTCATACACAGCTGCTGCATTGTGGGATATGCTGAACGTTGTCCGCTGGCAAGCAAGAAAACGTTTCTTGTAGCAAGTAGCGCAGATTTTTGGAAAGTTGGAGCCGCGTTATACTTTACCGCCTCAAGTAGTTTTGGGTTTCGTTCTACCAGCATATGGATCTGAACTGTTAAAGGTCTTTTCCGTTTCCTGTTAAACTCAGGAGGTCACGCTGAACAAAAAAAAACAAGTACACGACTATATGAGGACTGGTGATGGAGTCGCTCGTTCAACAGGATCTTGAAGCCCAGAACAAACGGTATTCTGTAAACTGCTGGACACTTTTATTTTTCTCTATGAACTTTGCCATTGTGGCTATTCCTGACCAATCAGCAGTCCTCTTTAGCTAGGTGGTTCTAGATGGCTTCTTCAGTCAGTCGTTGGTGTTACAGAGACATTTGGAAGGAAAAAACAGCACTGTAGGTAAAATACAAAGTGTTCATCATACTCCTGTCAGCCTCCTCTGCACATCTAGATTTGTTTTCATAGTTCTTCTGAATATATCAGATCGGTACCATATCATAGGATCACTGTACCAGTACATCAGATTTCAGTTTTTCAGTCACATCTTCTGCAGAGATGATGGTAACACATATACAATTATTAATATGTGACAGTATCAATAAGAACCAGAAAAATTATTAATTTCTAAGTTCCCACATGGATCATTAGCCAAATCATTAAAGACGCTTCTATAATTCAGTCTGTTCAAAGTCTAAATGTTGTTTGATTTTCTGGTTTGCATCATGATATGCATATGATCTGCTTCTAAAAGCAGACTATGAGATCAGCCAACCGTTTCATCTGATTTGTCATTTTGAATCGTTTGAAGTATTTTAGTATTTTGCTTTGCTGTACAGCTGTCTCTACTGAAACTTTGATACAATACTTTGCTCTTTCTTATTATCATCATAAGTTGTAAATACATTCAAGTTTTACCCATTATTATCAAGTTATACCCACTATTTTACCCATGCCAGCCATGACTGATTTGACATTTTAGAATATTTTACTTTCCAGCCCGTCGTTGTTCTTCAAGCTCAAAAGTTTTGCCTTTAAACATACAAAATAAGTCTCTGCTAATTCTCACACGCATTTCTTGCTTCTTATGTATTTGCACAAATTTGATTGTGTTGCACATTTCTCTATTCCACTAACAGACAAATGTCTGTACATTAAATTAGGTACTAACTAAATATGAAATTAAATTGTTTTACTGTACTAAAAACAAATTGTATTTGCAGCTGAATGTTTGTCCTTGGTAAACACTATGAAATGACTATTAGATATTGATATTTTTTCTATGTGATTTTACGTACATTGGAATATGGGATTATATATGTCCCTTTACTGTACAATGAAGTAGTTACAAATCTTGCATTTTTGCAAAATGAAGAGTCTGAATGCATGAATATTTGTACTGTACTGCTCTATTTTTTCAGGTATAGTGGATGGATATAGTTTGTTGCAATCCATAGCTAAGCCAAATGCAACATCGACAAAACAAAAAAAAATCTAGATTTGCCGCTTCCAACTTGCTGTGGTTTGGATGCGTTTCGATATTTTAACATAGAATGGGAACGATCAGATCTGTTTTGTTCTGACAGTAAAAGGATACAGTTATCAAATGCTTCTGTGGTTTGTTGATAATCTATAAATACAAATATTTGAGTATGATGTTGTAACTTCTGAATAAGATGCCAGAAAAGTCACTAGCATATGGTTCGTTTAAACGCTTGGTGTTGTATCAGAGTACTTGATGCTTTTATATGCGAGTCCACTTCATTCTTTTCAGGTCTATGTATGCAAATGTTTTTTTTTTTTTTTTTTTTTTTTTTGCAGTTTTATGGCATACACAGTTTATATGTGTGTGTAAGTAGGTGACACCAGCCTGACTGGGGAATGATCTTAATACACTGAATACAGATCAATATCAATGTATGTTATGTTATGTTATGTTATGTTATGTTATGTTATGTTATGTTTTCAACAATCATAGCCGATACAGTTGGAGGTCTACCTGGTATTCATTCTTACATTTCTTATTTGCATTCAGAAATGGACAGTAGATTGTAAAACTGAGAATGATGTGTGATTTTGAACATTTTTATGAAATGTTGCTTCGTCGGGTACTGTATGATGTATATAAATGATATAAATGTTGATAGATTTAATTTCCAAAAGGAATGTAATCTCTCTTTACAACTATCTGGGCCATTTAAACCCTTGTGAAGTCTTTTTATGAAACCCTGTTTTTGTCCATTTGTGAACAAATATAAGGATTATTGAGGCAATATCTATCTTATTTTTGTAAAATTAATTATTTTAAAGGGTGGTCTGCTGGATAAAAGGCGATTGCTTGTTTATTGCCTTACTTGTGAGTTATTATTATAAGGCTTAGATGTGTATTACTGAAAGCCTTGGGTGTTTTGCTTCGATATCACTTTACTAAAGTATCGCTAACTTGAATGTACATATTATATATTAATTTCATTTTATTGCAGGTTTTATTTGTTTTACAGTGTCTGAATGTCACAGTACATCAATGACACATCATTTCCCTGCATGTGTTGATGTTTAAAGGCTTACATGAGCACAAGAACCCAGGGGCCTCTTTTATAAAATGTTGTGTATAACCGTCCTGCATTTGATCTTATGATCATTTCTCAAATGTGCGTACGTGTAATTCAGAGAACGAACGTAGGCCTACGCCCAAAAACTTCGTACGCCTCTCTTCCAGATGTGAGATGTATAAATCGCAAATGATCTTCAAATTGTGCGCAGCTGAATGGTTTCAGATCTCCACCTTGTAAACGCCAACTAATTAATGTCATTAACATAAAGAGCACCAGTCATCGTCCAAATCCTTTACTTGAGAATGGCGAGAGGAGGCAAGATTTGCTTAGATTTCCAAATACTTGCAGTACTCCGACTCTGCTTGTCTGCTTAGACCCTGACGGCGCTGAGCAATTTTCCACATAAAATGTTTATAAATATGAACATTGGCGTGGATTTTAGCATAGGCCTACGCACAGATTTGAACTTGGAGTGTGCGTACGCTAAAATCCCCACCAAAGTTCATATCACTTTGACTTGCTTTTAATATATATATATATATATATATATATATATATATAAATGAGGCCCCTGGTATCTAATTCAATCTATATACTAATCTATTTGCTATCACAATTGTTTTGAGTAGCCTATTCGGTTTTTGGAAAAACATAAGATCGATATCAGATATCAGTTGAAACATTCAGAGCATGTTTGTTTTTAGTCATTTACATTTAGGCCTACTTTTTTGAGATTTGTCAAATTAAATGAAGAAAGCCGGCATTGTATTTTCTCAAAGAGCCATGCAGTGTCTTTAAAAATGGGCTCTTTTTTGTTTGTGATCACACTTAACTAAAACATTGAATGAATAATATATATATATATATATATATATATATATATATATATATATATATATATATATATATATATATATATATATTATTTCATTTATATTATATGATTACAACCTCATTTATTGTACTCTTGGGTCAGACTTAAAAGACTGTCATTGGCAATTTATTTATTTTACAAATGCGAAGATGGTCATTTGTAGTCTGTTTTCTCATTCATGTAGCAAAGCTGTTAGCAGCTCTTTTGTTGTTGCCATAAACCAGCCATTCATATTATTCATGGTATTGTTATTAGCACTGTAAGACACTGTTAGGACATGCTCACCTTCGCAGAGCGAGGTTTTCAACTTTCATGAGAAATGTAGCTACTTTGAAATCCATGCCCATTGCATCCATACATCTATGTATCCTGGCTTAACCCACTATGGTTTAAGTCTTGCACTTTGGGAGAGCACGATCAAAGATTTATCAGAGATGGGTAGACCCCAAAAATTATTCGAGCTGACAGTGCACTGCTGTTTAGGAATAACAGAATGGTAAAGAGCTGTATGGGGAAGCTGTAATTTTATACTTGTGCTTTGTAAATGTTTTCTATGTGCAGTATTTGATAATGTAAAACTGGTATTTTTGTGGTTTGTACGCTGCAGAATTATTTAAGGTGCACGCAGTTTTGTAAAAAAAAAAAGGATGGGAAACTTTGAAAAAAATAATAATTTTGA